CAGGAGCCTGACCTCTACAAATTGATGGGTCCTGATGTTATGCATCCAAGGGTTTTAACAGAGCTGTTTGATGTCATTCCAAGGATGCTCTCCATAATCTTGGAGAAGTTGTGGATATCAGGGAACATCCTAGAAAACTGGAAGAAGGCTAATGTCAGCCCATTTACAAGAAGGGCCTAAAGGAGGATCCAGGAAATTACAGGCCTGTGAGTTTTACTCCATTCCCTGGGAAAGTTGGAGAACAAATTTTCCTGGGGGCTCTCACATGTCAAATGAAGCACATGATTGGGAAAAGCCAGCAGGGATTCACCAAAGGCAAGTCATGCTTGACAAACCTGATCACCTTCTGACAACACAAGGCCCTGCTCAGCTGATGTGGGGTGAGCAATGGACATTGTCTCCAAGGCTTTCAATGAGTCTTCCCAGAGACTTCTCCTAAAGTACTGGATGCATTAGGATCTGGACTGGTCCATGCAGTGGATGGGGAACTGGCTAGCCAGACACAGCTAGAGGGTGGTGGTAAATAAATAACTCCTTTTCAAACTGGCAGCCTGTGACAAGTGGGGTCCCCCAGGGATGGATATTGGGCTCACATCTGTTTAATATCTTCATAATTGATCTGTATGGGATCAAGTGTATCCTGATGAAGTTTGCTGATAATATCAAGCTGAGGGGGAAAGTGGACACTTTGGGAGGGAGAGCCACCCTGCAGGAGGACCTGGAGAGACTGGAATAGAGAGCTGCCAAGAACCATATGAAGTTCACAGAATACACAGAATCATGAGGTTGGAAGAGACCTTAAAGATCATCGAGTCCAACCCAGCCCTAACACCTCAACTAAACCATGGCACCAAGTGCCACATCCAGTCTTTTTTTAAACACATCCAGGGATGGTGACTCCACCACCTTCCCAGGCAAATCATCCCAGAGCTTTATGACTCTTTCAATCAAAAAGGTTTTCCTGATATCCAAGCTATATTTTCCTTGGCACACAGGTTGCACAAGGACAAGATTTTGCACCTGGGAAAATACAATCCAGGAGTGCAGCACAGGTGGGGATCTGTCTGGCTGGGTACCAGCTCCGTGGTGAGGGACCTGAGGGTCCTGGTAGACAGCAAGCTCAGTATGAGTGACCAGGGTGCTGCTGCTGCAGCAAAGAAAGCCAAGAAAGGCCGAGCAGGGTCCCTTCAACCTGGTTCTATGTGATGCTAGGATCAAACTGAGATCTTACAGCCTAATTACTGGTAGTAATTAGTCAGCCCTACATAACTGGATGCCATTCATTGTGGATGACTGGTCTGCTTTTTAAAGAACATACCTGAAATTATTCATCCTTATTAGAAATGTTGTTCAATAAATACTTTAAAATAAGCTGTAACAGAATGAAAAATTTTCAGCCAGAAGAAATATGCATAGGAAGAAAATTTCGCACCCAAAATGGCAAAGTATTTCAAATGTTTCTGTTAAAACATTAAAAAAGATCAACACAAAAGTTTAATGATGTAGTCTCAAGCTTGCAGACACAGGAAGCATGCTACCATAAAGTCAGGGGAAATAGATTAGCAATCTAGAGACCAGATGGTTAGTATTTACTTGCTGACATAACACCACCAAATGTTCCTAAATTTCTTTTTTAAATTTGTCTTTCACATTACATTATCAGCATAGGAACTGATCTTGCAAACATATACATAAAGATTTCAATATATTTATTCATTTGGGTAGTCCCATTGACTTTAGAACAGGAGACTGTTCACAGAACCAGGCTATCAGCTTGGGGTAAGTCTACAGAGTTGTAAACTATTTGCCTACACCGATTTGGGCAGGCTGTCTGTGAAAAAAATAAAATAAAATCTTGTATACATCTTTTTGTTCTGGTTTTTTTTCTTTGCAAGAGAGAGCAGTTTATGGAGAATATGATAAAAGATATTCCCCATCCATAAACTCCTGGTCTGGTGGATAACTGTTAAACTTGGCAGGGCCTGAAATAAACTGAAGTCTTAAAATGCTTCTCCAGTTTGAAGTCAAGGAGTAAAAATATGTTTTTAAAAATTTACAAACATTTTTACCCAGCAAATTTTTAATACCAGTGTGAGAAAATGTTGCTTAATTATTACAGGATTCTCCTAAAAATTACTTAACCTCTCTCCTCTGTGAAAAATATCCTTGATTCCAAGTGTTTGCTCAGTGCCTTGTTTTTCTCTGGTGGGAAAAACTGTCACTCCTTGCTCTACACTGTTTGTGACTTGTTCAAGTTACCTCTAGGGGCTCTCTATTCAAAACATACAGAATTTCTCTAGCATTAGCTTTTCATATTCAAAGTTTTCTCCTTTAGCTTTATGTTTTTTCTTTCATTTTCACTTTCTAAAGTGTTGTGTTCCCTCATCTCTGTCATTACGGGGTTTTTTTGGATGCATTCACATTGCCCTTTTGTCCAACATACTTTTTCCCATCTTTCATCAAAATCTGCTTCTCAGTTGCTTGCATGTTTCTCAATGTCTCATTTTCTCATCTGCCTCCTCAGGTTCCTTTTCCTTTATTGTCACATCACTTACAAAGTCACCTGCCTCCAGGCAGTGTATTTCCTCCCCTATTTAATTTTTTCCATTTGCACCATCTGTGTGTGTACATGTAATACAAGCACTTCATTTGGTGAAAGCGATATCAAACTGAGTTGGCCCCTTTACTGCCCTAAAAATAAGAAATTTGTTTTCCTATGCTACAGTTTCTTTGTTGAGCACACCTCTAGAAGCCATGAGGGAGTTCCTTCAATGTCATAGTTAAAATTATAAACTTGGGTAACTCCTCACGTGCTCCCCTTGAATACTTATTATACTCAGCTCCCTACTCTTACAGACACAGAAGCAGTGTCTGTCTCTGTTTTGCAAAACCAGGAATTCTACCAAGAATTTTAATCCTAGGCAGGTCTTTCAAGTTATCATTTGTCTGAATATCACAAACATTCAAATATCTGTACCTGCAACTAACTGTCCCATACAGATGAGAAGGCTGTGACTACCTTAAACAAAAACAATAAAGAAATCTCCGCAAAAAACACTCAACCTGTTTTTTCAAGTAAACCTCCAGTCTCTACAGAAACAAAAGGAATAGCAGCAAAAGGAAACTATGGGTAGGAAGGGAATTTTCAATTCCTTTCAATTTCAATTCAAAAAGCATTAGAAAAGTTCTGTCATGCATTAAACTTGTAATATTTGTCTAAAGCTTTGTTGTGTTCACTCTCTAGGCAAAATCAGGGCTAGAACACAGGTAATCTGCATAGATGGGATAAAAGCCTTTTGTTAAAGAGATGATGATTTAAACCTTGAACTTCTAAATATAACTACTAGAAGTGATGTTTTATATAGAAAAAAAAATCTCAGACCCACCAGAAAACACCATTTTCTTTAAAGCAAGTATGTAAGACAATGTTTGGAGTCTCATCTGGAATGCTGTGTGTCATTCTGGGCACTCACATTTAAAATGGATTAACTCAAAAGAGCAAAATTAGCAAAACAGTCATCAAAATCCTACCGTATAAATGAGGATTATAAATCAGAAGAAGGGTTGCATGGGGCATGACCTCTAGCTCTCAAGAGTAAATGGTATATAAAGCAAGAAAATTAGTGTTGCTACAAGAAAAAAATGGTATAAATTAATCAGGAATAATCCTAGAAGCATCCTAGAATCTTACAATAATAGCAATCTTCATTTACCTGTTTGTAATGCAGGTCTTCATATAATTTTGGAGACAAAACACCTAATTCATTTTAAGAAACAGGTTCGCACATTTACAAAAGGGATTATATGGCATGGTTCCTCGTGGTAGCAAGCAAGGAATCAGATTTTCTCCATGCTTGTGTTCCTACAGATCTGGAGCTGTAATAACAGGAAGGGGGGGGCTACCTACTCTGCAGTACAAGGTTCAGCTGTGCTGCCATTGTTACTGCTCATTAATTGGATTTAATTGCTATATGATTTAAGTAGATAGTTAAATACTATTAATTCCTGTGGAGTCAGGGGAGAATTTCTTTATCTCTTGCTGTAAACAAGTTAAAGTGTCAAGAGGCACTGAACATGTAGCCTACCTGAATGCATGACAGATCTACATTTGAAATGTGTAAAACTATCTTTGCAGAATGAGAAAAGAAACTTGGCACTTTTCCAATCATGCAATCTCTGTAGTAAAGGTGGGGTGAGGGACAGTTACTTTGTTTATATTTCAGCAGCCACCATTTTCTCAAAGTTCAGTCTTCTACTACATTTGCCTTATCGTGTTATCATTAATTAAAATCAGTAGGAATGGGCCACATTTAGATATTTAATAACTTTTAATCTTCATACCTGGAGGTCTTTCTAAGAAATGTTTCCACATATTATTAATTTGCTTGGTGAGTATAACCTTCATCCTGTTCAGCAAGCATAATTAGAGATTAATTTGTTGTGTCAGGGATTTAAAATTTTTTAGCTCACCTTTAGGCAACAACACATTAAATTGTATAGGAGAATGCAAACACTTTCAAAGACAAAGTTTTAAGAGGGGACATTATTCAATAGTGAAAATGGAAAATGGCCTGAGTTCCTTGTACTAATTCTTTAGTTTCTATATTGGAATCCAACCTTTACCAACACAGTAAAACAGCAGAAATATGGGGTTTTTTTAAGAACATAAAAGGAAAGGCATATAGGAAATTCTGCCGGCCAATTTTCGAATTTAAGTGAAAGATTATTTAAATGTCACGTTTCATGGAGGAGCCATCCCGAGCTGGTGCTGCATCTCAGCTCCCTGGGTAGCATCCTCCGTGCCTGCGGCTCCCTCGTGTGGTGCATCCCTGTCCATCGGGGCACCAGCTCCGCGGATCTTCACCCTGCCAGCAGTGACTGTGAACCTCTCACTGTGCTCATCATTCTCTGTCTCTTTGCTGTCCCAAAGCACACTATCTGCCCAGCAATAAGCAGTACGTTTCTTCTTTTTCTTTATTTCATTTGATAGACATTATATATGTATATACACACAGTACAATACTTTTCTTTTGTGATAGAGAATAAATGAAAGTTTTCATTGCTGGTTGTTCGTTAAGTCAACAGATTCCAGTTAATAATGAAAAAAATTCAAATGTTTAATATCAAAAGCAACTTCAAGTATCTTCTATACATTTTAGTATTCAGTATATAGGAAGGTGGTTTGGGGTGCTTGTTTTTATATCAAAAATTGTATTTGAATAGACTATTTTTACCCTCATACTTTAGAGTACTATTCATATCAGGCATGGAATTTAAAATTATGTTTGTCATGGTCCCAACTAGCTCTTCACAAGAACCATAGGTCACTTATACAATCAGGCATATGTTTCAAAACAGGGTTTAATCATCAGCAAAGTCAAGGTGCAATAACCATGTTTAGAAATGCACTATTTCATTCTCCTAAAACAGATTAAGCTGCAGTCCTTGATGTGAAGCAATATACAACACCACTGTTTGCAAAACAATACCTGACTTAGGCATAAATAGTACTTCAGTTCCCCGAGCTATTTATCCCTTAACCTTTCTGTATAAAAATAATTCAACTTAGGCATATATTGCACTAATTTTATCATACTGGATAGCTCTCACCCTGCATTATGTTTTCTTTGCTGAACTAGGATTACACTAGGGTTTTAATTTCCATGGAAAACCTGGGAATAGGGCGACAGACACACATATGGTGTGCAATAAATGGTAATCTATAATAGCAATAGTTATCTCAGAGGCATTCACAAAGGAAACTACACATTAGACTTGGAGATCATTTTCTCCAGTAGATTCATCATTCTCTCCTGTAACTGTAAGCTTTGAACTTGAATGATGTTCTGCTGATCCAGGATCCTGCGCACTTCTCTACAGGTTTCTTCCATAGCTCTACTCAACTTCTTTTGTTCTTCCAACATGGCTTCCATTAATTTTAGCTTCTTCTTTTGGAAACTGCAGTTTTGCATTTTTCTTTTCTTAACTGGTCTTTCTTCAGCTCTGAAATGTGAATATTTGTTAGAAATTAGAGACATATTTATAAAAAGAAAGAACCCAAAATTTGATAGCATATTCTTGGCCAAGCTACAACCTAGTCATATTTTTAAACCCCTGTGTTCTCCAATAAATTCCCTCTCGAGTTTGTGCCAAAACATAAGTATTTAATGCATTATTGAATAGTGTTGCAGATTGTTAAAAAAAAAAAAAAAAAGAATAAAGAAAAGATTTTACATCTCTTTGTTTTTAATAAGAAATTTCTCTGGAGAATACCAGGCTTTTTTTTTTTTAATCTTGAATTGAATTTATACAGTGTACTGGGAGAGACATTTGGCTTATGTGGCCATTGAAACTTCCAATTGTAAAGCCAGAGAAAGTGCTGCATGGTTACATGTGGTGGTATCTTACAGCTTGTTTTTTACAGCACTGCATCAGTAAGGCTGGTCCCACTCCAGAATATGAGCCTCAGAATTTGCCCTTGTGCCAAGACACAGCAGTGGCACTGACCCTCTTTTTTTTATATTCCACCACAAAACATTGTAAACATGAAAAGACAGAAAAATACCTGGGGGTTCTGGTTGAGAGTGGCTGACCATGGGCCAGGTGTGCCCAGGTGGCCAAGAAGGCCAATGTCACCTGGCCTGGATCAGCAGTGCTGTGGCCAGCAGGTCCTGGGCAGCGACTATCACCCTGTACTCAGCACTGGTGAGGCCACACCTCCAATCCTGTGCTCATTTTTAGGCCCTTCATGACAAGAAAAACATTGAGGGGCTGGAGTGTGTCCAGAGAAGGGCAATGGACATCCTCATTTGAAATATGCAGAGCTGCCATGTGGAATTTGGGGAACATTTTAAGAATTTCCTCTATGCTTTACCATGCTGGGTTTCTGTTTTGGAAGAGAGATAAACAGGGCAATAAAGACAGTGCTCTCAAGGTGTAAACGTCACATGGCTGCTCTAACTTGGGGTGACAGAGCCACACAGTCAAAACCAGCCCATGTGGCACACAAGTGAGAGCACACACACAGATCTGGGTCTCTTAACCTGCAGCCTAAGAAGGAACCATGCTAAACTGTGAGAAAGGAAGAAAGGCATATGTGTAAGTGCGCTACACATCTGGGAAACCTCCAGTTAGAGCTGGATAACTCCTTTCCTAACTTTAAGTGAGAGACCATGTCTTCATTTACACTTTTTGTAACTCCAGACTGGAGTCCCCAACATCAAAGATATCTGATGATGTGTCTTGAAGTCCCTTGACACAAACAGCAGTCTCAGTCATGTTCTGCCAAATGCAGTATCCTTTCCAGGTGAAAAGCAATAATGAGATAGTACAGTTGTGACTAGAATGCCATGTCAACATGCTGCAGATTTTAAGACATCCCTGAATAAGGATAACTTGAACTCTTGAGAAATGTGTTTTTATTAATGTGAAGAAGGGTAGTGGGGGTGAGGTCACTCAGCTGTGACAGATTTGTATCATAATTTGATTCATGTTCTTATCCTACTTGACAGGCTTTGTGCAGCAGCCACTGTGACATTCAGATCTGTCAGCTGGAGAGATAAACAATCCTTAGCACCTGAAAGGCTTAATGCAAATATAAGAAAAAGACACAGCCCCTTGACATTTAAGAGTGCAGTGACCCAAAAAGGGTGAGATACTATCTACTTTGGAAGGTATACAATAATCTCAGCTTTGCAGGTTCTATATAGCATATTTGATTTGGGGCATCAAATAAATGTGAATAAAATAAATACATGCTGCTCTGCTCAAACTGTGGGTCTGCTCAAACTGTAAGTCAAGCTTGCTGCAGGTCACTGAAATTATCAGTCTCACAATCCTCTGAGAATGGGTCTTGGATAACACTAAATTCTGTTTATCTCCTTTAACTCTAAGGGCCAGAATTACTTCAAATGTGGCTCTCACAGAGGTCAATCAAGTGGAAAAGATCCTTCTGTTGTCTAAGGACAGCACTGAATCTGTTATTCCAAGTTTCCCATCACTGCAGTAACAATCACAAAGAATGCTTGCTTTCTGATAGGCAGAGCAAGAAACTTTCTGAAATGATGATATTATTTTAGCCAAAGTCATCTTTTGAATTTAAACTTGTCTACACATAGGATTCAAATGTTGGAAGCTTGATGAATCTCTGTTCTCTTCACCATACAGTGCTAGAAAATAGCTGTGGTAAAACCTCTTGTCTTGAAACCAGTACGAGCTCACTCCACAAGAGGGCTTATGTGTTGCCAACATAAGCACTGGTGAGGATGGTTCTTAATAAGGAATGAGAGAGAAAATCTGAGGCTTGTCAATGGTACTGAGCTGCACTGAGCATTGTGTGTCTTTCTTGGTAACAGTAGCCACCATTTGGATTTCAATTTACACTGAGACAACAACAACAGCAACAAAACCATTATAAACCAAGATGGAATGATTTAGATTGAAAGATCTAAAATAAGCCTTATTTTTAAGAGAAAAGAATCTTTGACGTGTTTTTCTAGAGTCTGTAAAGGATTTTATCTGGTTTTCAGTTAAATCCATCAAAGAACTGTAGGACATGAAACCATACATCCAAGACAGCCTTGCACAGCTCCAGAGAGAAAGGAGCAGCAAATTTTTACTGTGTCAGCAGTATCTGCAATCTACTAATAACTAAAAAATACTCACTGAAGAGTGCTGGCTCAGAACTGTGTTTCAGCACAGAGAAGTGCTCCCAAAAGCAATGGCCCAAGGATTCTTCAAGGTCTCCCAAGTACTCCCTACATTTGTTTACAGTAACAAACACAACTTTATAATTAGCCTTCATTGAAAAGAAATACTTATTTCAGAAATTTTCAGAAAGTCCAAGCTTTGGTGATGGTCCCAATCTCCTTTTCTCTCCACTGACTGATACTGAAAGGGTTCTATGATCACTCACAAGTTCACAGTAAGGAATGGGCACATAAAATCATCTCCTCTACAGAACTGCTGCTGAAAGGGAGCTCTTGAGAAGGGCCCTACAAAAGAAGGCTCTAAAGAATCTAATTTACAAGCAAAGAGCACTTGCAACATGAAACAATGTAAAATGTCCAGTGATGCCCATCCAGTGATGAGTTATTTGATTATTGAAGTGTTTCCTCAGATTCTCAGCCATCTTTCTTGAGAAGTTCTAGGTGTCCTGGGCAGCATGTCAGAGATCCCTCTCTGTCAGTAATGTTTTATAACAAATTCAAGAGAGCAGCAGGAATATGGGTTCAGCACCAAGTAACACAAGCAGCACCAGTATCCTCAAGGAGGTCCAGCTAGGAGCATGTCTCCTTTGCCAGTGCATGGGCACAAGAATAAGGATCTCCTGATGATGGCATCAATCAGTTCCTGATGGCCGTGCTCCATGGTGTGCTCCTGTGCAGCCAACACCTCTGTGACAACAGGGGTGCAGCAGATCCTGGCAGCACCCACAAGCTCCTGAAGGAGCACCTCCCTCTTTGCCAAGCCTAGTCTCTGAAGGTAGATTTTGAGGGAAATCTCAGGAAAGAAGAGTCTAGGCAAGTAAGGACCTCGAATACAATCTGCTGGTACTCTTCTGCTGGGCTTCCAGTGCCTATGGCAGAGTATACAAGAGATTGGCATTGGTATTCCTCTGACCACATGAACCAAGTGTGGAAGAGCTCTGGCACTGGGACCATATTCCATCAGAACCTATTTCCCTGCTATGCTCTAAAACAGGCAGGCAGGGTTCCAAGGAAGCAAACCAAGGGAAAGAAATTGTTCCATCTCACCTAGGAGACTGAGCAGAAATGATTGTGTGTAATGGACACGAGGGGGAACAAAGCAAAACCTCCAGATGCAATCAGGCAATGTATTAGGCAAGTCTCAAATGCATTTGCTGTCTGCCTACCTAATACCAATTTAATTCATTGTTCAATTAAAATTTCCTTGATTGATTGTTTACACTTATACAATACAGCTTGTTTCAGGGACATGTGTGAATAATTAATGAAGGAGTTGAATACAAAGAGTTCTCTGTTTATCAAAATGTATTATCTTCACAAAACCCTAGCAACAATTCCTCATTTCTGACTACTTCATGGCACACGGGTCTGCAGTACCATCAGTTCTTGGAATTTATGGCTTTTAGCACCTAAAAGCTGTTTCTCACTGGTTTGGGGTTTTTTAGCTTCGTATAAATCTGAGCAGACCTCCGTAATCCATGTCTTTAGTAAAAGAATTAACAATGGTCTGGATATAATCAATATTAATATTAGAGATTATATAAAGATATTCAGAACATAAGGACTGAGGATGAGGCAACCTGGATCCTCTGGTAAACTAGGCTCATTCAATCATTCAAATACATTCAGGGATTAATGAGACATCCTTGAAGTAAAGCACAGAAAAGAACCACAAATGGCTTGGAGCCTGGGCAAAGCACCTTGCTAGGATAACAAGCCCGCATAATGAGTTAAGATGCACTGCATAATGCATATAGCCTAAAGCTCTAACTTCTTTGTAGATGATGCCCATTCAGATTTAAATAGCCATAGCATAATTTTAGAAATAGTAAAGTCTTTGCCAAATATGTTGTTTCCCAAATTAGCATCATCACCAAGTTTTAATGCACTTCTTTTAATCCATGTCTTGGCTAGTTAATGTTACCAATTCTTACTTTTTCTTCCTGTGTAAACTTTCTGGAGCGAATTCATTCATCTACATTTAAAAATTAAAAAATACCAGACAGTACAATCATGGCACACAACCACCTTGCCAGAAAGAAAAAAATACTGAAAGGTTCTCCAATACACTGAAAAGAAAGGTAAGCAGAAATAACATCTGAAAGTTCCATTCACTAAATTCACATTAGAAACAAGGGACTGGTTTAAACAAGGATTTGCTTATCACTAGAAAGAAGGGAAGAGTGAATTCTCCATCTTCTGAATTTATCAGGTCTAGACCAGACATTTAGTATTTCCCAGAGTGAAACAAATCATAGAAACAAAGAAGTGGAGGACAGCAGAGACAGGGGGCACCTGAGTGCAGAAGTGCCCTGCTGAGGGAAGGACCCTCTCCATAACATTTCTGGGCTCCACATAAAAAATGATCACATTCAAGTGGTATCTAACAAGAAGTCAGACTAAATACCACAGTGGTTTTATTACGGTCCTTTAATCTATGAAAGTAACTCTTTCACCCCCATTTTCAGTACAATAGAAATGGCAGAACACATGAAGTCTGAAGTACTTTCACACCTGTATAAATATGTTCTGTCATTATTTTACTATGAAAACAAAGACCATAAATTAATCCACAGGGTGAAAAAACACTGTTTTCAATTAGATAAAAAGTCATTTATTGTGGTGTCAGGAATTTGGATTTTAAAAACTTAAGCTGCAGTACAAGACTCCACCACATTGCATTATATTTTATGACCACAATAGAATAATTCTATTATTGTCAGATGTTTGGTACTGTATAACAGTGTCAGAGAAGTGTTAGAACAATACTAAGCAATTACAGGCACCCCTTTAAAGGGATTCCAAATGTTTCCCTCATCTACACACTTGAAACAAAAATTCAAGTTAATTTCATCTCACATTAATTGTATTATCACTAACCAGCAGAATTTGGGTTTTGTAAGAAGGTCTTGAACTCAAAGTTTTTCAAACAGAATGCAAAGAAAACGAGTTTCAACTATTTTTATCTTGACAATATATATGTACTGATTGAAGTACAAAAGGTGACATTTTTTGCTATCATGAAAGCTAAATATTCAATTGAATTTTTTTTAAGCTATAATTTATATAGCCAAGTAGACTCCTGCTATGTTCAAAGATACTGTGAAAAACACAAGCTGACACTCTAAAGCTGTGTTGGAGAGTTTAAAAGAATAACAGAAAAGTTTTCAGAAGTTTAAAAGTTATTTAGAGAGAACTACTGTTTGAAAGTTTTCTTCCCTATCAGTTGTTGCCATAACATTAGGATTTTTATTACTGAAGAAAAAACCCTGTAATGTCAGTTGTAAAATATACAGCTGCAAAACACATCTGTATTTTCATAGAGACATGAGTGTGTGTTTCTCAAAATAGGGAAATTCAGGACCTAAAACATTCTTTTGATTTCAATTCCCAGAATTGTCTTTTGTTCTTTTTGTGAATCTGTTGGATCAATTGTCTGCTGTTCAGAGGCAAAGGCGTTGATAAAATAGCCAAGATAGACCCAAATTTTTTATGCTATTTTTTTCTCTCTCATTGGCTATTTCAAAGTGTTTTTCAAATACAGGATGAGACACTAATTGCTTAAGCTATAAATTGCTTCCTCAGTTCATAATTTTCCATTAGTAAAATAATTAACTTCCTTGTCTAACATGGCAGCTCTAAGTGGTTTTAACCCATGTGGTATCACTAGCAAGGAATGTATTTTCTTCTGGCCAAGAAAGGGTTCCCTACTCTGCTCTCATTCATCTGCCTAAATTAAACAGGTCAAAGCTGGACAAGCTTTTCAAACCCCCTAGGACTATTGGAATAACACTTTTTCTCCTTCCAGACATGAGCCCCATTATCACAAGTGGTTTCTAATGTTTGATCCAATCACGATGCTCACCTGGAATATTACACTGATCTCTCATGTGGCACCTACTGCTCAACTTCTCCTTTTCTTTTAAAACAGGGGAACTATTTTAACTTGTGACCATGTAACTCTTGCTATTCAGTGATATGCACAATATTCTATTGCCCAAAATTCTTTCATAGTGGAGACTGTGAGACCATGGCTGAATTTCTAAAAGTTATGGAGGTCCTGCCATCCTGAGAGCTGTCCTGTTCTTCCCTGCAGCTTCCAGACCCCCCTGAGCCATCCAGTACAGCCACTCCTAGCAGGCAGCAGCATTGCAGGGGCTGAGTGGCATTGCCCCCCAGACTTGCAGCCAGCTGAAAGCCAGCCTGTGCCACTAGGGGCTAGATTTAAATGAGATGCAGTTTCTAAATTCAGCCAAGTTAAAATATTTTTTACTAGAACAGGTTAGGGTATTTCCTTGGATAAAGTTACAAATAAATTAACAAACCAGTGAACCTGAAGTTGACTAAAATGCATCATAGCCTAAATTTTCCAGAGCTTATAATTTAGTGACTGATTTTAGTGACTTCCATTTTAGCTGTAAATGAAAGCATCTACATGACAGAGTCCACCTGCAAACTGTGGGCACAACAGAATTTGGTTTGGGGTTGATTAACTTGATCTCTGTGAGGAATGTCTATGTTCTGTAGTGAAGCCTGGTGTAGCAACCTCTGTCCTCTCTTATGGTACAAAATCTGTGTTGGCCTGGAGTTGTCCCTAAGCTGAAAAACTTAACATCCAATATTTTTAAAAAGCCTGATGTTATCAAGTCGTCGAGTGAATAAACTCCACAATGTTTGTGGAAATGTGACCTTCTAATTAAATATTAAATAATGTTATTGTAAATCCAATTGGGAATAAAGTTATTGCATCTGAAATGTGACTGTGGAGTTTGCAAGTCCTAAAGTCAAGCAAGTTTGTGTATCAGGAATATCAACTACTTAAAATGGACTAGGATAAAAAAATTGTTGCCTGTGAACAAAAAGGTTGCTATAGTTCAAAAGTTATACACCCTAGTAAATATTCATTGCCAAAAAAAACCCCAGTTTTTAAAATTAATCAGTTATCCAAGAACTATATGCTTGAATGATTGACTGAATTTAACTTAGTTTATTCATCCAAGAGTGGGTCTGGAAACAATAATTCGAACTTGCTCAGTTGGTTCTTCTTCCAGCTCAACATCTTTACAGTTGCATGACTGACAGGTAATTTTACTGTTACAGTTAAAGCCTCACACATTCATGATAAGGATCTCTAGGATCAACTTTTTTCCTGCCAGAAAACTGTAATCAGCTCTTATTTCACACCACTCTGGGTGAAAAATGAGACCAGTAAAGTCTGAAATTTATATCAAGAGTACAACCCTGCCTTTTGTTAAAATGTTGCCTTCCAGGGAACTCCAATCATATCCGAAAAAAAAAAAAAAAAAAAAAAAAGGAATCACATGTTTGCATCTCAAACTAGCATTTACTTTGAAAAAAATTACATTCTCAATTGTATTTAAAATGATGCAATGTGCTTTCAAACTGCATGAGCAGCTTTTCAGTGTCCACAGAAGTATTTATTTTGCATCTTTTCACCATTTTAATAATAACTGAAGCCAGAGAAATTTCATAGTCATATCAAAAGCAGAACTAGAGCAAGCCAAAAATCATCTAAGCAGTATGTTATATCTCTGATTGCACCGCAGGACTCTCTTGAACATGCCTGTATTCCTTTTATGAACACTCTCCCTGATGTGAGCCGTGACAGGCATGCTGAGTTTTGGCAATAATATACAACTTTTTGCCCAGTTCTCCTACTCCCTCCCAGTCTTTCATAAAGGAATAAAGAAAATGCCCTAATTCAGCAAAGTGACTGAGACTGGGGAACAGATCTCATTTGTGATTTACCGGAAAAATACAAGAGCTGTTAGAGAAAAATGTGTGAGGGTGTTCCCTTTACACAGCAAATTCGGTTCATTCTGCAAAATCCTAAAAAAGAGGGGGAAATAGATGCTACCTCAGCTTGTAAGAAAGCAAGCTTGATGAGCTCTCTGAATGTTCATCTTCAAAGCATTCTTCCCTTCCTTCATATGTAAACTGGTTATATGGCAAGTAGAGGGGTGTAGACTTGGCTGATGGAGACTGCGAGGCCTCTGTCTGAGATGTAGAAGGACCTGGCTGCTGATTTTCATGCATTTTCACATCGCTGTGGTCTGTCACTTTGGATAAGATCCTATCAATGGTTTTGTAGTAAGGCCAGTCAGGTGCCACAGTTTCACTGTCAGTCATGCATTTTAATTTCCTGTAAGAAAAGGCACACAACATTAAAGCTTGTTTTCCTACAAAAAGTACTTTTCATACAGATCTATCTCAAAACATTTGTTCTGGTCACATTTAGGAGTCAAACTGAATGCTTTTAATGAGAATAAAATTAGACACTTTTCTTCTTTAACTTCCAGTGAAGCCTTTCAGGTTCTTTTCCTAGGTTTGACCTATTATAAAAAGTTTCATGTAACCCCCAAATGAAATTCAATACAGATAAAGAACATTACAACTTCTAATGGAAACAGGATTGTATTGGTGGTTGGATAATTTTCTTCCCCTTAAAGTATACCCAACTAACCAATTTGACAGCAGTCCCTGACAACTGGACTAAGCAACGCACCACAGCCTTTACAGAACTGAGGGCAGCCCTGTGCTTTCATGCTTTGAAGAATGAATATTTATTTTCTATAATGAATACAAGTGGCTATAAATATAATGCATATCCTTTTTCTAATATGGCTTAAAAGCCCTGAAAGGCCTTGGTAAATATCCTTGTAACAACCATGAGATACAGACATCTGTTCATTTGTTACAGAATAAAGATCAGGGTAGGGAAAAGTACATAGTTTCATTAATTTACCAAAAAAAAAAAAAACAAAAAAAAAACAAAACAAAACAAAACAAAAAAACCCCACAAAACAAAAAAACACCCCTAAAACAGTTAATAATGCATTAGAAACAGCATGCACAAAAACATTACATTACAGTGGACTATCAACCATGACCCTTTCACGTGTATCTTATGAGATTTATTATTCAGTCCTCAGACAAGTTCACTGCTACCCCAGAAGTTACCCAGTGTTATTTTATTTTCTTTTACTGAGAAATATGAAACTGAGGTACACAGATGTAGTATAGATCTCAAAGAAATTCCACAGCCCAACTAGAGTCCCAAACTTTCTTTTCATTTGCCTCTCCCAGTTCAGATCTTGTTACTCTAAATCAAAATGCAGGAAGGGAACACAACAGGAAAGGCAAGACCAATGACAAATGCCCCATTTTCATAAACCAGATTTCATTCAAATTAACAAAAAGCTGAACCAAATCTGATTCTCACGGCTAGAGGTTTGCATTTGCAGGTAAAAAAAAAAAAAACCAAAACAAAAAAAAAAAAAAAAACCAACAAAAAACCAAAAACCACTATTCCTGGACACCTGGCTCACCCTTTTTTTCTTAAAGCCTTTCAGGTTTTTCCTCAGAATCCATCCTGCCCACACCAGTCTTGCAAGAGGTAGAATTAAATAACATGTAAACATGAAAACAATGGTGCCAAACTTAAAAGTGAGAACTTGAAGTTCTTCCTCTTAAAAACTGTCAGCCTAGAGTAAGGGAAAATCCACTAGTGAGAAAAGAAGGCAGTAAGATTTGCTTAGATTTTAAAGCCATTTAAGGATTCTTTTCTCCTTGTCCTTGCAATGTCTGATGAGCTTTTCCAGCTATTTAGAAATGCACATCATAGTCCTGCAAAGCAGAGCCTCACAGCCATCCATACTTTTATGCCCTCTATGCATTCAAAATTTTAATTTCATACATATTTCACAACCTACTGCTGCAATTTCATAGTCAGAGAATATCGAGCACAGCCTACAAATACATGCACGCCCATCCAGCACAGAGAGAAAACAGCTAAACACAGGCCTGACAACAACCATCAATTAATATTGATTATTTTTAGTTCAATTGCTGAGGCTGTTTGCATGAAAAACAGATCAATTATGCCACTACAAGCTAGTAGCCAAGCCTGCATGCCATATTTGTTTGCCTGTGTTGAAACTCTCAATGTGTTCAAGCTATGAGGTTTAAAACTGAATTGCAATTATGGAGGGCATTCACTGTGGTCAGTCATCCCAGGGGAGAGGTGGCAAAAGCCAGGGGTGACCACATCTCAGCCAGGCCACTGCCAAGTCCAGCAGCTGCATTAAGACTTTGTGGGACATGGTTTGAGCCCTTAGGACTGCAAAGCATTGTGTCAAAAAGAGTAGGACAAGCTTAGGGCTGATCCTCTGGGAACAGGCTTGTACTGAGCCGTGTCACCAAGGTCCCCACCAGCAGAGCTGCTGCCCCACCAGGTCATCCCCTCCTGTTCCAGCATTTGGCCATCCCAGAGGAGGACTTGGCATTTGTCCTTGTGGAGTTTGATGGGGTCCCTGTTAGCCCATTCCTCGACCTGCCCAGGTCCCTCTGAGTGCCAGTCCTGCCCTCACAGGTGCAGACTGCAGCCCCAGTTTGGCATCATCTGCAAACCTGTGACCTCCACCTTCACCTTTGGATTGCTGATTTTAAACAGGGCATGTCCCAGTACAAAACACCTGCAGTCCTCCACTGGGAATGAGTTTCTAGGCAGAATACAAACCATTAACAGCTACTCTGTGCCCAGAGATCCAGAGTTTTCGAGCCAGCTGGTAGTCCTTCCCCTGCAGTGTAACATCCCAGCTTGGATGCAAGGATGTTCTCGGAGACTGAGACAAAAGGGTTTGTACTGTGAGCTAGACAATACTTTGCTCTACCCTCATCCACAGATCTAGTGCTTTAAGAAAGAAAGCAAGCAGGTCAGTCAGGTGTGATTCAGCGCTGGTAATTCCCAGTCACCAGCAGTCATCACCTTCTCCTTTCCATGACTGGAAATTGCTTCCAAAACTTCTTGTTCATTGATCTCCTAAGGAGTTGAAGGGAACTCCTCTTAATTCTTGTTCCTCCTGCCTTTCTGAAGATTCAACAGCCTTTTTCTGGTCCCTAGAGACTTCCCTCAATCGTCACAAAGTTTCAGAGATGATTCCTGACTCAGTCCTTCCCTACTGCTGGTATTTCTGATAACTGCTGCAGGCACACCCGACTGGGACATGTGGGCAGTGACGGCTGAAATACAGACACCAACTCCCCTCAGCCTCATTACTGCATCTGCTTCCATTAAAACACCCTGTGGGGATTTTGGGGGCAACCCAGGTATAACTACAGCCTGGGGAAAGAAGAGATTGAGGGCAGTCCCATCGGGAAGGAGTTGGGGGTGCAGGTCACTGAGAGGCTGGACATGAGCTGGCAATGTGCTGGTAGCCCACAAAGCCAAGATTTATCCTGGGCTGCAGCAAAAGCAGCAAGGCCAGCAGGCTGAGGGAGGGGATTCTGCCCCTCTGCTCTCCTGAGACCCCACCTGGAGGGCTACAAAAATACTCAGAGCTGCTCTGCCACGGATACAGGCTGAGAGAGAGAGGATTGCTCAGCCTGGGGAAGAGAAGGCTCTGGGAAGAACTTATTGTAGATTCAGACTAGATATAAGGGAAGAAATTTTAATCAGAGTGGTGAGCCACTGAAACAGGTTGCCCAGGAAGCTGCGGATGCTGCATCCTGGCAGTGTTCAAGGCCAGTTTGGACGGGGCTTTGAGCAATCTGGTTTAGGGAAGCTGTCCCTGCCCATGGGAGGTGTTGGAAAGAGATGGTCTTTAAAGATCCCTTACGAGCTGAGCCATTCTGTAATTCAATAGAAGGTTTCCAGGAGTAGATATTTTGCCTGAGTAGGTTGGTGATTTTATTGCTGTTTGAGCTCAGCTGTGTACTCAGACCCCCTTTTCTTACAGAACTATGACAATTTGGAAGGAAGGCTGTTGTTTATTGTCTGCTCACAGAGCTGTAGAGCTGCAGTTATATAAATGCAGGTGTTTCTCTGGCTCTAAATGCATTGAATGGATACTAATTCTACTTCTGACTGTTTACCATAGCTCTGAGCTAAATAAAAGGGATCACTACCAGGAGGTAGACAAGAGAACTGTGTTAGCTTAAAAGTAGCACCAGCAGCAATCAACTACCTGTATGGAGTCTGGCTCAAACACACAGAAAAAAAGGATGAAACAGGGAAAGAGATGAGAAGATAAGGGAAAAGGGAGTGTCTCAGTCCTTTGGAAGAGAAATAGAAATGCTACAGCTGGAGGTAAATAGGGAGAACATTGACTCCAATAGTGTTGATGGTTTAGCTTTCTGGTAAAAACAAACCAAATAGCTACCTTCATAAAACTAATATTGAATTCCAGGATTTACTGACTTTTAAATATTTTTTCTACAACTGTCTGAAGTCCAAAAAACCTAGTTAGACAGCTGAGGGCTTTTGCCTGTATTGAGGTAAATGTAACCCTGGAAAAACTGGAGTCTAAAGCAGAGATTAATTTACTGCCCTCAGTCATTAGCATAACTCATCACAGCAACCTTAGCTGCTTCCAAGAGATAGAATTGGGGTTTTGTTTGTTTTAATGAAACATGGGGATGTTAAAAGAAACAGGACAATAGGAAGGCTGGAACGCAATAGTCCAGAAACGAGAGAGCAAGGTGAGCCAAACATTAACACTTTGCAATTGGGCACATCACTGCCTGAGGGAGCAGCCATGCAGGAAAAATGAGGTAAGAAACAGAGGTAAGTGAGAAAGTCAGCAGAGCTTGCAAAATAAATTCACACTGAGTTTATCTGGACCTGTTGCTGTTTCATGAGGCTCTATTAAAATCCAGCTGAGAGCAGAGGCAACTGAGAACTCTATCCAAAAACTCAGGGATCAAAGTCAGATTTCCAGTGGACAAATACCCAAAGCATGCCAACTGAGTTAATTTGAAAGGTGATTGCCTGTCTTATTCCAGAGAAGTGAATAAATTAATGGACTTTTGAGATCCCACAGCCAAAATGCTCCACTGAATAGACTGAGACAACTGTTGAGTCATTTGTGCTGCCATTGACCTTTTTTCAGACTTTATTCTCTGCACCTATTAATCCACCTTAAAAAAACTGTCACAATATTATGTTCTAAAGAGGTTTTGGTTTTTTTGAAAATCATCATTATTTAGTCTGCAAAAAGCAAGCAATCTATAACTTGCTTCATTTTTTTAGACTTTGCTCAAAGCAGGATTGCTTTTTTATTATTATTGCAGCATTTGATATTACTACTTGCCTTAAGGAATGGATACAAGATCCATCTCTTGGGGTTTCTAGGAAAAGCTTTCAAAATAAATAATAAATAGCAACTGTTTGTGAACCAATCAATGGTGAGGAAAAGAAGGATGATGAAAGTACAATGCTAAGTTGTGCATCTGCTATAAATTATTGAAATTAAAGACAAAGATAGTAAAGTGTTCAACTTTTTGCAGTAATTTGGCTGCACTCATATTTTATCATTTGCTGTAACAGAGGTCAAATTTTCCAGTTGCATAATGTCAGAGAGTATAGCAATGGATTACACAAGCAAAAATGTTTAATTGCTATCATGTACACATGAAAATAAAAAATTAGACTACTCTTTCATTCAAATCATGAGACTGATTCAAATTTACCAATCATTAACATTAATTGACTGCGATTCAAATCAAAGAGCAACAGCTGCATCCTGTTTTCTATGCTTTGGGGAGGGTGATGTTTTTGAAAATAATAAATTTGCATTCACACAGTTCTTATTTTTAAACATCAGAAGGAATCAGTCAAAACTGTGGACCACTGTGCAAGCTGTGCTTCCTTTTTATAAGTATTGTGTCAGTGGCAACATGAGAACAGCAGTCACAGAGCACTGTGGCACAGTGAGATCAGCACATTAGCAGTGACAGGACAGTGCTTTCTTTGAGAAGGAATAATTGCAGGTTCACATGAGCTGATAGCCCCAAGTAAGCTGCACAACACAAAGAACTGGGCACAGACTCTAAGGGATGCTAAACCTCAAGAGCTGGCACACTAATCTCAGGAAAACTTTTGATGACCAGCACATGTGAAAGATTAACTTTAAATTCCAGGAAGCTTGACTCAGCCCTTCCTTCCAGGATGGATAAATGGGGAGCTTCATGCAGCTCACCACACAGGTATCTTTGAAGCAGAACATTAAAAACCTGGTGGCTGTCTATCCACAGCAGATATTTCAGATTTTACAGCAATCCCTAAAAGCAGAACTTTACTCAAATACACCTGCAGAAAGAATTTTCCTTCCACCTATGGCGTTGAGGAGAATTTTCCACCCAGTCAATTTCCACGGTGGATGAAATGGTCCCTTAATACACTGAGACTCCAGCAGGAATTACTTCAGGTCACGGTATATTTTTCCCTGATTAGTTTCCTCCAAATGCACTTGGACTACAGTAATGCAGAGGAATACAGGAATCACTGCCAGCTCAGTCCATTGTCTCACTCTTGTGACAAAGGTCAGTGCTGAATACTTCAAGAATGATTTTGACAGACAGCTTTTGAGGGCACATTCACCCATAAAAACACATGATTATTTTTCCATCAACAGCCAGTAATATCCTGAAATCTGCTGCCCTTCATAACTCTACCTAATTGGAAGACAAAAAAATCTGGTTTTTCATTTAATAAATCTAATCTTTAGTAAAAAAATAGTAGTAATAAAACAACCTGCTGATCTCTTGGTGTCAATGATTTCCAGTGGCAATAATTCCACATGCTAATTATGCAGTGCAATACAGATTTACACGACTTCAACTAGTTTTGCATTTCTTGCCTTGCACTTCTTATAAATAACTTCTTGTATTATGGCAAAAAAATCTGCTTTACATTCTGAAAAATAGTGCATATTTGTATGCACTTCTGAAATTCTTTTAGCATTCACAAACTTTTTTTTACACTTCTCTTAATAAAGAAAGCTTTCCACAGCTCAGACAAACTGTTCTCTAAACATCTTCTCATTCTCTTGTCACCTTGTTGAAATATAGGGCAGAATTAAAGGAGGTAATAATGAGATAAAATAAATTTCTGTTTGTCATTTTAACCCCTGAATAATGTTTTCACCTCAGATGCGGAGGAATGGGATATGAACACCCTAAAATTGCTTATGTGAGAGATGCATACTGAGCTACACCTGAGGTAACTTTACCTGGCAGCACAAATCCCACATGGGATCCAAACACACCCAGATCCAGGGTGAATCCCTGGGGTGGGAGCCCCTTCTGAGCCCCCTGCACTGTGCACACCCATGCAGGCTGCACTTGCTGCAGAAACTGCAATAATTACTGGCCAAGAAACACTCCTGCCCTACTTAGGCATATGTTTGCCTGACTTGGACACCTTCTACTCAATGAATGGCTTGCACTAAGCAGAATAAAGAAAACATTTACTGAACTGCCTCGTAGAATGCCATGGGATCCTCAAACTGGAGAGCACCATTATAAACGTGTTCACTGCTTTCTGTTTCAGAACCCTGTATGATTCAGATCATCAATATCTATTTCAACAGATGCCCCAGGATAAGCCACACCAGTGACAGCACCTTCAAAACTGAACTTCGTTAAAAAGACTAGTAGAAATATTCAAGTACTGCTTTTTCCTTTTATGGAAAAAATACACATATATGTATTCATTCATATATATATATATATATATGTGTGTGTGTGTGTAGTAATTTGTAGGACAGGGGTTTTATGTTCCTTTATGAAATTGTGGCACTTAGGTAAATAATATGATCTGATTAAATATTTTAATGCAGTTTATTTCTGTTAAAGGAGGAGTAGAGGCCACTCCACCCCTGCAGGACTGTTGCCTAAAGAAGTACAGGATCCTGCAGTGGGTGCAGAAATAAGCTCCTAGGTGCAGAACACCCCTCCTCACTCCTGCTACTGGTGCTGCATTCTCCCATGTCAACTCACTAACCCAGTGTAATCTTAACAAAATATTATCTCAAAATAGAGCATTATCCCACTCTCAGGATCTTCCTCTCCAGTTTGTGCCACAGGGCAGCAATGATGCTCAGAAATGCAGTGATGTAAAGCATCTTCCTCAAGTGTCCTGCAGGCACCCAAACACAAATTCAAACTCGGCTGCCTCATAGCAAAGCCAGCAGTCAGTGGCCACTCACATCATTTACAGTTTCACCACAACCTTCCCCATCCTCACACACCACCAAAAAGTACCCAGAAAACTAGAAATTGCGAGTAACAGCTTCTGCTTGCCCCTGTTCTTCATGCCACCTCATCCTGACAGCAAAGCACACAGGCACGTGAACAAAAAATAAGAAGATGCACTTTATATTCCAGAGCACAAAATGAAACAGCACTGTGACAGCACAAGGCAGTTTTTAACTCTCCTAAATTAGCATCTCAATCAATAAGCAGGGAGCTGCCATGCACTGCAAAATAGAAAAGCAGATTGACAACATGCAACAGAAGCAATCTTAGAAGTTCACAGAAATAGAAGGATATGTCTTAAAAGTGTGGTTTCTCTCACACACACTGTGCATGCATGCGAGTGATTTTATTTCTTCCCTTCCCCCAGTGCAACTTTAAAGTAAAAACATTAATTAGGAAAAAAATTGAGACTCTCTGATGGATGACAACACTGTAAATTTAGAACAAAGGCTGACAGAAATAACCTATTCCACTTGGCAATTACGGCACTTAACTATCGTGCAGTGTTGCTGCTACAGACACCTGTGAAATCTCAGTGCCGAGATGCAATTCCCAGCAGGGAGGACTGCAGATTCAGCAGACTAAGCAAAAGCCTGCTAGCCTGCAACTCCCAAATCTGCATCTGAGTGGGAATTGCTGGGCGATGCTGGACAAAAATTTATCTGACTTCCAGCTTTCTCATCTACAGTCTGGGTGAAGGAAACTGGATGGATTACAGCAGGGTTGGTAAAACATTTTGGAGACGTTAGGATTTGCCACAAAACATCAGGTTTAATATTATGGCAAATGATGTTAAACATTATGCTTGTGGATCATAGAAATGTGGAAGGACATTCAAAGTTAAGGGGTTTACAGGATTTTCCCTAGTTTTCTATTTGATGAGCAGTCTCTGCATTAAATACAGTGAGGGTGCCTTACAGAAAAGCGAGCAGTTTTAACATGGTTGCCTGCTGTAATAACCTTTTTTATTATTAATATGAGCTTTGAGGAGAGATTAAATAAAAGAGTCACATATTTGATTTTCTTGCATTACAAGCACCTAGCTCAAATCACCACTCAGGATTTCCAGTATGAGGCAGTTTGTGCTTCGCAGAGATAAGAATTTAAAAAAAAAAAAAAGAAGAGAAAAAAAATGGAAATATTTCTGTTAAGTTCTAATTATTTTTCTCCCTGCAAACAACAAATCCACAAATGCCTCACGTTTTCTGAAGCCAACTTCCCCTCCTGACTGCTTGCCTGTTCTTTATCATCCCCTCATAGACACCTCCGCCCTCCCCCCGACTCCTTTGGAGCAGTATTGACGGTGCACATTGATTCTCTCTGCAGATATAATAGTTCTTTCACTGCTGCTGCTTATAATTATAGCAATGTGTGTCACTCAGTAATAAGACATTCAATTATTCTTGGCCCCGTGAAGTGTAACCCTTCAACTCACGAGACCAAAATCGAGGAGCATCAGCCCCCCCAAACATTATTCTGTTCTAGTTTTCTTCTTTTTTTTTTTTAACTTTGCCTCGCAATTCCGATCCTCAGTGGCCACTTGAAACTGCAGGAGTTTCACTGCAAGGAATTGGCTGCCAAGCTAACATAATCAGTCCCCTCAGCAAAGACCAAAAAAAAACCCAAAATCTCTTTTCCCCATTAAATACATTTCCATCCCTCTGCATCATAACAGTGCCAGCTAATTTTAAAGCAACAAAGTTGTCCCAGAGTTTGACATGAAATGGGGGGGACAAATTAACAATGACGTAACAGCATTGGCAAGAGAGAATTTTAAAAGCGATATGAACAATCTTTAATCTTTTATCGACAGATTTCCTCCAGGAGACTTCTTTCTGAAAGGCAAAAATCACTGCGCCATCCCTGCTAAAATCTCTTAAAATAAAAAGAATGAACTGAAGCTTACCTGTACTGGAATGTCATATTTGTAATTTTTATCTTTATTTCCTCTCCGTGGCGAATTTCTCCAGTCATTTCAAAGAGTTTGTTAGCCATTTTCTCATAAACTTTGGCATTCCTTTTAGTTTGTTTCAGCTCATCAAAAAATTCTTCCCAAACCAGCATTAAACCTCTCATTTCTGCATCAGTCCAGTTCCTGGCCCTCCTGTGTTTCTCAGTCTGAGAGGAGACAATGTAACTGGGAATTTCTGCTGCAGCCATTGCTGACTGACCTAAAAGGGTTTTAAAAGAGGACACTTAATATAGATTGAGTTTTTAGTTTAGGTTTTTTGTAGTGCAAGACATGCATATGTGGATAAAGAATTTGAATGACAACAGAACATATGAAACCTTTTTGCAACAGCTTGAAGCTTGAGTGCACAAAATGGGGCCTACATCTGACAGGCAGGAATTTAGTTAAAAGCTTTTAAACAGAGAAACGTCATTTTGATGTCACGTTTCCATAGCAACAGAGCAACTGCATAAGCTACAACAACAAAAACCTTTTAACTGAAAGCCAAAGAATCAGGACAAAGTTGACAGGCCATCAATATTAAAGCTTTTAAACACTTTAGGTTTAACAAAAAAAAAAGATCTATGCAGCCTTTGAGAAGCTACTTTTAAGTTTCTACTTCTTTTTTAGCTTTCCCTTACCTTTTAGGCAGACAATCTGCTAGCAGGGGGTCATGGTCGCCTGAACGAGCTTTTAAGTTGTGCCTTGACAGACTCTCTAGGAGGTTGCAAGGACTGAGGCCATGTACACAAAAAAAAAAAAAGCTTTTTTTTTTCGCAAAGATATTCTGCAAAAAGAATCAGCCAGCTTTATGAAAACTATACATCTCTAAGCTAATAAATGTTTAAGCAGGCAGGCTCATTAAAAAAGAGCCTGCATCTGGGCTTTAGAACATGCAAAAAACAGTATTTAAGTGTTTATATAGAGAGAAATATATACAAAATTTCAATATAAAGCCACTTTTTTTTTTCCCCGAGATGTTTTGCTGCTGATAAGCACACACTGCAGTCCTGTCAGTATGAATTTGCCTTTGTAGGTATGTATTACTGTATGTGTATTTTGTATTCCTAGTAATTTAGATGCTATTTATGCAGCCTGTGTTCTGCCTTAGGACTGCAGCAGAAGCATTTCACCTGCTTTATGGGCAACCTAAAAGGATTATTCAACGAGTTAAAAAAAGGCTGCGAGATGCTTAGAACTGTGAATAAATTGCTTTGCTGTAAAACAAGCATTTTGAGCTGGTTTTTATATAGGGCTAAATTGTGCCAGCAGTAATATCAGAGAAGCAGGGCATATTCATTGTATTAAACACTGCAATACAAGCAGTGGGCCAAATCGTGCCCCACTTACACTCCTGCAGTCTGACAATAATCTTCCACAAAAGAGTGAGATGCAGGAACTGCATTAATTCCAGCTTACCACCAGCTAAATAGAAAGATGTTCATTTCCTACAGTCCCAATAGAATTGTGTTATGTAAAATATAAATAAATAATCCACGGACATTTCTTCTTATTATTTTTGTGTTTCAGCATATAACAGCAATAACGACCTCACTGCAGGGCATTTCCTGAAGATTAATGGCAGGCAGGGGTTAATGGCCCGAGGCTCACCCAGTCAGTCGTTAATCCCCAGGAAATGTTCCGTGCCTCAATCCTTAATGCTTAAGTATCCTATAAATTGTAAGTCTTCTCATAACCACATCCTTGATCTTAACAATAGTTAAAAAATGCAGAGCTTGGTTTGCATCCTGGAGATGGCAAGGAGAGTACATACTGTTCCTAAAAGGTACTCTATTGACATTTGTGGGACCATTGCCTTCTTTCTATTTTATTTATTCTACTGAATATTACAAAAGGCACAACAGCATACCACAGAACAAGGTGGGGGTATGAGGGGGTAGAATTACATGTACTTTACACAGGAACTTCCACTGATCCAACCCTGAACATGTCTCTGTCAGAAATATACCTGCTGAGTCACTGCCTTCCTAAGGGAAAAAATGAAAAGGAGAGAAATAAAGAAAAAATCCTCTAGCTTCCAAATAACTGCTTTTAACTACTAATATGACAGCCTAGCAACTATTACCTTTAAAAATGTGTAAATAGCAGCATATGTTGTGATGATGATCTTGCATGGTTTGTCTCTTGGGTGGCCAGCTGGGAGACATCACATGATCAGGGGACAGATGGTGGTCAGAAGAGGATCAGCTGATGACACATTCATTTTATTAATTTATTGTTTTGTTTTGAAATTCCTGTCACTTAACCTTGGGCTTCAGGCAGCTCTTTTAATAAAACCGAACCAACCTCGGCTGCCTGTGGTCACAGCCACTGCTGGACATCACCAGGACAAGTTTAAGGAAGCAGGGCAGAGTCCAAGAGGAAAACACCATGGCTTTGGGTCTGATTTGGAGCTAACACACATTAATGTAAAGCCAGGCTTGCTGTTCAACCTTTAATCATCCATTAGAGGTTTGCTTTTCTCCCTCAAACTTTAAACCACCTATGTTGTGAAAATGCCAATTAACACCAGGGAAACCCATAGCATGGCACACACAACTTGCCAAAACCCAAAGGTATGTGTGGTCTCTGCTTTAAGGATATTTTTAATCCAGTTTCAAGTACAACAATGAGGACAGGGTCGGTGAAAACCTTTCCAGCTGCACCAAGTTTTTCCTGTCATAGTCCACAAGTTTCCCTTCCCCTCTCCATCCACATGTGCCTGGCATATGTGTGGCTGTTCCTTGGGCTCTGTGCTGGCCCCCAGACCCCAGGATCCTGCAGAAGGGGGGTGATTGTTCCCCTGTGAAATTCACATCTCAGCTTTTCTAGATGCTGTTTCCTATTAGTGTACTTGACAGATTGATATAGTGGTATAGTGCTATTTAACGTCTGTTAAATAAAAGAAACGCTTTCTAATAATATCTCCCTTATTCCCCTCCTCTCAGCACCTGAAGGGGATCTAAGTTTCAAGGACTCAGATTCTACCCCCTCCTCCTTTAAAAAATCGTTGACAATAATTATGGAGACCCCACATTGCCTCCTCTGCCTTGCCAAAGCCCATGTGCCAAGTGGTTGACAAAGTGACTGTTTTCCTATGTAGGTCTGAAAGCAAGAGGAGTTTTTTAATCCCCAAATAATTCCTGCAGTCTTTGCCAGAGCCAGGGGAGGGAAGATACACCTCTCCAGGCTGTGCCTCTCCTGATGTTCTGCACATCTGTGCAGTCCCTAGGCATCATTAAGCCCCTGTCCTGGTCCCTGAGCCCTGGATCTGTTTGTCCTCGACAAACAGCTAAAACAGGAGCAGCAAACCTTTCAGGGGAAGAGCAGCTCTGTGTCAGCAAGAGCAGTCCCTGCCCAGGAGGAGGGCACGGGCAGGAGAAGCTCTATTAGCATTTAGCTGCTTCTTGTCCCTCTCCAGCTAGAGGCCAGTCAAGATTTGTCATTTACCTCAAAGACTACCTGGTCACCAAACCCAGAATAGCTGCTGACATGGCAAGCTGCAGCTCTGCCAGACTGAAGGCACTGACACCCCTCCTGCTGTCCCCTCTAACACCTGATTGCAGAGTCCTCCAGCACCAGCTTCCTCCAAATCAAGGACCAAGCTGGCACCAAGCGCCACACAAGCAACTGAAGCTGCAACTGTTCTCATCAATAAAATAAGGACATTAAAGTCTTAGAAACCACTGAAATACAAAACTGAGGTACTGAGTACACCTTTGTACGTGACTTCCCTCTGTAGGGGAAAATTGTTCTCCTCCACTCTCCTGCTCACCCCAGCCCCTCCTCTGATGGGCAGTGACAAGTTCAGAAGATATTCTTGTGAACACCTCACTGTGCTCGAGTATCTCACTTGTGCTTTTTCCTTCCAATGCACACCAGCTCAGAGGAACATGAATTTAAAGATCTTCTTGCAAATCTGTTCTTCATATCATCTGTCTAAACACCCTACCTTTTTGCAATCATTATATATCAGCTTGAATAATAGCTCTCACAGCTGTTCCACCTTTCATGGTGATCTCTAAAGATAACAAACCTCAAACAGGGTAGAAGGGTTTATAATTTGCAGCTGTGGATCTAATGAAGTTCCCCTATAAATGCTGCTCTCACAGAGTTTAGACAACTCCATTAATCCTTACATATCTGTTGACTAAACCTCAGGTGATCTCTGCTAACTGACTGTGTATACAGCCTTCAGCTTTGCAAGGGTGGGCTAATGCATGCCAAATAAAACTTCCTTCAGCCACGTTTTAGGGAATGGTGTTTTCCGCTGTGCCTGCAGGGGAATAACGGCTCCAATCACTCAAGCACCAGAGCCCAGCCCACAAACTGAGCCATTACACTGTGATTACAGCAGAGCATGTCCCGTCCTGCTGATGGGGACTGTGGTAGAAGCCAGGCAGAAACCTCTGTGCAAATCAGAATTTATTCCACTAAGGACACAAGAGATTTCTCCAACTTCTCCTAAATGTGCTTCTGTGTCTGAAATCCCCACGGGAGCTGTCTACAGGGATGCTGACACACAGGTCACTGCCTATAGGGATTTTTAGAAATGGAAGAACACTAGCTTTGGTCCAGGAGAGTCTTGATGCCAACTGGCAGCAAACACCAGTGACACCAGGAGGAGGAGTTTCCTGCTGAAGGAGCATCACCCCTCAAAGCCACAGGTCCAACTCTACAACACATGGGTACCTCAGTGGACTATTTTGTAATGTCTTGATTACATTAAAAAAAAAAAACAAACCAATCCCACTCACCAATCAACCAAAGCTGCTTTCACCTTTTGTGTTTGGGGCAAGCTGCTAAAAGCAAGGCTATCCAAAGCACAGGCTGGTCACTGCCCTTTGCAATCCTGTGGTCTGGCCCAACAGGAGCTTAACACATGTGGATAATAACAAATCTTGGAGCTGGGTAACTGCAGAGCATTCTCTGGGAATTTCAGTGCAGACACACCTTGATAATTGCTTAAAAGGGTGCAGTACTGTGTACATGTTTTTCTAAAAGCATTTGGAGTTTGCATTGCAGGGGGATACTATTTTGTAAGTTCAAAAAGGCTGCATGTGTTGGGAGGCTGCCTCCTGCCCCACATTTTGCTATCCACTGGGCTAAGGCCCACTTTCTAGAGTCTTACAGAGAATTATGGGTTTAGTATCTCTGACTGCTGCCTACTGCAATTTGCAAAGATGACTAAATGCAATGCCATTGCAGACAGACTGGGGAATGAGGCAGTGGAGAGCAGCAACTGTGAAAAAGGACCTGGGAGTCTTGGTCAATGGCAAAAGCTGAGTATGAGTCAGCAGTGCCCTAGCAGACAGGAGACACATTCATGTCCTGGGCTGCATCCTTGTGGATCCCTTCCAACTCAGGATCCTTTGTGATACTTTGATCCTC